CACCGTGTCTTAATCCCACATTTAATATACCCAAGCCGGTTCATATGTTAAAGTTGATGTATAGATGTATAGAGAAAGAGGGAATTGTGTATATGAATGTTATATTGATATATTCAGTGTAATACATAAGGAGAAGTTTACTCTTCTTTATAGAGAGAAGAGTATGTTCAGTGTTGCTAAAGGAACCGAAAGTAAAGACATCATGATTACAACTTGGACACTTTACAGCTAATAACACTAACAGCTAATAACATATAATACATTAACAGTCCCCCTCAAACTCAAGGAGGATAGGCACAAACCAACTTGAGTTTGGAGAGAGTAACAAAACAGGAAAATAAACTAAAAATAAAATAGGATAGGAGACACTGTATGGTCGTGTCAGATCGTTATTGAAGACACTGCGTGGTCGTGTCAGACCGATGTAGCAGCTAACCGAAATCAATGTCAGGACAGTTTACGGGGTCATGCCGGACCGATGTAGAAGCTGACCGAAATCAATGTCGGGACAGTTTATGGGGTCATGCCGGACCGTTGTAGAAGCTGACCGGAATCAATGTCGGGACAGTTTACGGGGTCATGCCGGACCGATGTAAAAGCTGTCCGGAATCAATGTCGGGATAGTTTACGGGGTCATGCCGGACCGTTGTAGAAGCTGACCGGAATCAATGTCGAGACAGTTTACGAGGTCATGCCGGACCGATGTAAAAGCTGTCCGGAATCAATGTCGGGATAGTTTACGGGGTCATGCCGGACCGTTGTAGAAGCTGACCGGAATCAATGTCGGGACAGTTTACGGGGTCATGCCGGACCGTCGTAGAAGAATTTGGTGGTGCACCAAGGTGGCGACTTAAGGAGTGCGCCATGGGGTGGCTTGGGTGGTTCCCATGGTGTATAACCATGCTCACCAGCTTTGGTGGTTCGCATAGTGTGTAACCATGCTCACCATGATATATGTAGAATACCCCCCCTCAAACTCAAATAGGTTTGAAGATAGAAACCTATTGGAGGTTGAAACAAATGGATTGATAAAGTGGAGTAAAACAGCCCAACACAGAGTGAAGATGTTAAAAAAAAAAAATGATAGAAAGGGGTTTTTTTATTATTATTATTATTTTCTTTTGTTATTTGTTATTTGTTTGTATTTTGTATTTTTTTTTTTGGTGTTTAGTGTTCGGGTAAGAGATTTTAGTAAAACATATATATATAAATAATAAAAGAAAGGTGAGGGCGAGCTTGACTGAGGGAGGTGAGTGGGAACAGAGGATAATAAAAATATATATATAGAGAGAGAAAAATAAATAAATAAATAATAACGTAATGGAAATCAAAAAAGAGAGAGTGAGAGTGGAGTGTTGTGTTGTGTGGGTAGAGAATAAATAAAAGAAAAGAAAGGTGATCATTTGGTGGAAGAAAAAGGAGCTGTGGGGAACATGGGGTGATTAAAAAAAAAAAAGGGAGTGTTGTGTGATCAGATTGTTAGCCTTTTAAGTATCTGTGATAAAATAAAAGAAAAGAAAATAAAATAAAAAGAAAGTTGGGTGGTGAAAAATTATTGTTAGACAGAGAGAAGGCATGTGGGTTGTTGTCCATTGTGGAGGCACTATGTCCAGTGGGATGGCGGTGGTGGTGTGGTGAGAGTGTGTTGTGCATGTGTGTGTGTGTGCCGTGTGTGATGTGTGAAGAGAACCAGCCCCGAGAGAAGAGACAGATCAGTGCATGTTGAGTATCAAATTAGAGAGAGAGAGAGAGAAGGTGCATGTGTCTATGTGTGCTGTCTGTGGTCTGTGTGTATGTGTAGTGTGTGTGCATGTGTTTGGTGAAGCTCAGTCTTGAATAGCAAACCCACAGAAAATTCAAGAAGTGCTAATGATTCTACGAGCCCCCAACCCCGAGAGAGGGAGAGAGCACCAACTTTTTTTCACATTTTTTGTTTCTTACCCCCCTCCAAAAATGCGACCCAAGAAAGAGAGATTGAGTGTATTCGTGTATGTGTCTGTCGTGTGTATGGATCGGCCATGCAGAGAGAGAAAGAGAGCCAAAATTCATGAATTGTTTGGGTCTCCCCCATTCTCTCTCTCTAGACCCCGTGTGTCTCTCCCTCTGTTGTTCAGCCCGTGTTGTCTTATTATTTTTTTTTTTTTTTTTTTTAGCTTAGATCCAATCCCTCACCAGAGAGAGAGAGAGATGATCAACTTCATGGAAAAGCTGGTCCTCGGTGCCACTCCAGCCAGCGAGCTCATCGGTGGCGGCTGCGTCGGTGGTGAGCTAGCAGGAACCTGTGTCACGGCGTCTGTAGCAGTGGTGACAGGTGGCGTGGTCGGCGTTGGCCAGATCACGGCGTCGGTGGCTGTCGGGTGGGCCGACGGAGTGCTTGACGACGTGGGTAAGATCTATGTTGTAACAAAGCTGCAGCAAGAAATAGTGATGGTTCACGGCAGCAAGAAATGTGGCAGCGGAGTGAAGGTATGTGTAGAGGTCCGGCGGGCGGCCAAGACGAGACTGTTGCCCGCCAGTGAAGCAGAATGACTAGGTTGTTAACCTAGCTCTGATACCATGTTAAAATTGATGTATAGATGTATATAGAAAGAGGGAATTGTGTATATGAATGTTATATTGATATATTCAGTGTAATACATAAGGAGAAGTTTACTCTTCTTTATAGAGAGAAGAGTATGTTTAGTGTTGCTAAAGGAACCGAAAGTAAAGACATCATGATTACAACTTGGACACTTTACAGCTAATAACACTTACAGCTAATAACATATAATACATTAACAATAATTAATACATGGTACGGTACAACAAGAAGAAATAATCATAAATCAATAAGCCATGCATGATAACTAAAATAAAGATCACTAAAGATGACTTAAGAATTATCACATAAATTTTTAGCTTTCCCTTAAAAATGAAATTTTTAGCGGTGACCAATCTTAAAGAAAAATAGGAAATCCATACCAAAAGAGGTCCGATGATCACAATATTTTTTATTGGAGGTAGTTCATTAAGTTAGGAAGATATGTCTTGAAGAACGCTAGAGCTAAAAATCATTTTAAGATGGAGAATTTATTTTTGGAAATAAACTGGTATTTTCAAACAGTGTGTTTCAGCAGGTTCTAGCCCAGATAGTCTAGGTTTGAAAAATGAAAAGAGGGATCACATGACGTCAAAAAGAGGTGAGATCAGAATCATTTGTTATATATTAGGAATACTTCTACAGAGAATTTGAAGCCTGAAAATCCCTATAACATGGCGAATTAATTTTTATAAGAAAGTCGGACAGAATTTGTTGCATTTTAGTAAATTATTAATTTCTCCTTCAATACTTACTAGATTTTTTAGAAGCATATGAAAGATATCTAATATATCTAACTATTCCAAGCGATCTTGCATGAAAATACGTTTTATGGAGAAAATGAAAGTGGCTGTTTTTGCTAGATTACATACAGCAGCTGAGAAAATAATTGTTTTGGGTGTAAAATACTCCTTAATGAGCCTATAAAAATGGACAAACTTCACTTTACCCCACTGTGGTTTGGGTCATGTGCGGTTTATCCCTTAAGATTTGGAAATGACTACATAACCCCCATGTGATTTGTGGACTGAAATGCAACATTAGACTTGGGGAGCTTCTATTTACACACATTCTTTCCACTCTTTGCACATTCTTCTCACTACACACACCTAAAAAATTAATCCCAAATTATTTTGGTCACTGCACACACCTTTTATTCCACATCTACCCTCACACACACACACCCAGACCCCCAAACCCAGCTCTCTGAACGGTGCATTAACACGCCTATTCCACTGTCAGTCCCATCTCTCACACACGTCCATCTATCACAGTCTACCTTTCGTCCCCAAAAGCTACATCCATGCATTAAAGACATCTCATTGAAGCATTGAAGACATCTCATTGAACCATTGAAGGAATTCTTCACATTTGGAGAACTTAGGTTAGTTTACTTATTTCAATCCTCATTCCTATTCCATTTGTAATGTAGGGTTTGTTTTTACTATTTTCGAAACGAATGAACACATAGCCCACTGAATGAGCAATCTGTTCCTCATTTGGAACTGGTTTTTCGAAAATAAACAACTTGTTCGGAAGTAGAATTCCGAAATTTTTTCTTTCTTTCGACATTCAACTTTCGAATAAGTTTAATTCGAACAACATTCAACTTCCGAAATGAATTTGGTTTTTCGGTTTTCAACTTCCGAACAAAATAGATATTTGTGGTTTTCAACTTTCAAACGGTTTTGTTTTGTTTTTCCCCCCCCTCTCTTTTGCATATTCTTTTTACAATTGTATACTCACTAAATATATTAATTTTTGCAGATAATATGGATTCTGAATGTCAACAATGTGTCCCACTTACTACTTCAAATAGATGACGTCGTGAATTGGATGTTAACCATGAACGGGGACGAGAGCGTAGGCGAGGATGAGGTCGGGGTCATGGTTGAGGTTGTGATCCAGTTTTGGTAGAATATGATATCCCCAGTGCCAGTCAAAGTCGGAGTCGAAGCCAAAGACTAGTTGAAGGTGATGATATGCCTGACATTGCCGTAGAGGATGCCCCTTTACCCGATTCTCCTATTGTCCAGGAAGAGGACCTTACTCATGTTTTTCCAGGTAGACTGACTGATCCATCAATACTGCGGAGTTTCAATAGTTATGTCGCTGCAACTGTTTGGCAAATGAAGGTAAACATTCCTGAGTAGAAGTGAAATTCATTTGTATATGATTTTTTTTTTTTTTTTTTTTGTTGTGTGTGTGTGTTTGAATTTAGGCAACCTGAGCCTAGACTAATTTCTTTTGAGTTAAACTCAGGTTAAAGGTTTGAGCAAAAGTTTAGGCAAAACTCAAGCTCAGGCATTCATTTAAACTCAGACTTGAGTAGATCCCTATACACCTTTCATAAAGCTTGGATAGATGCTTAGGCTGACTGAACTTGTTCAATTTAAAATCTTAATTTAGACAGAATGAGATATCAAAAAAGAGAATTTAGAAACAAAAACACAAAAAGCCTTACCAAACTTCGAAGGGAAAGTTCGTTTTCTGCTAAATCCACATTCACAAAACCTGCAAATGATGGCTTGTACAGCTTTTTCTTCAAAGAGGAACTGTCAAAAGTCAAATGTTAAAACAATTAAAATAAGGATAAATTATAAATATATTCCTTGAGATTTATTTAAAATACGAATTGTGTCATGTAGTTTATAAATTACATCCAGCCTCTTGAAGTTTCTAATTTCATAACAAATAGCCATTTTATTAATAAATCATCAAGTCAATTAACAATTTTCAATAATGTCAAAATTTTGTTTTAATTAATAATTTAAGTATTTTTATTATTATTATATAAGAGAACAGTTCGGAATTTTATGTTTTTTAAGTTAATTCTGGTAAATAAAAAATTGTTATAATGAGATATTTTTTTAAGTTTTCAAATTATAAGAGAGAATCTGTATTTTAATTAACTATATGAGTGTATTTGTAATTTATCATTAAAAACAATTATTATCATGTGTTGTGTACAAAAACTGATAACACAAAACAAATACATAAAAGAAACAAACCTTGTAGCATCAGAGCACATGAGAACTACATGATTGTCTTTGGCCTTAAAAACCCTAAAGAAAACAGGAGTGTATTCTTCAAGGTGTTGTGAAGCCAATGTCAGAAGCCCAAATGGTCCAACCCCACCTTGAACAGTTGAACCCTTGTGTTTACAAAGTTCTTGGGCATCCATGTTAACCCAACTAGGGTCAAATGCCTCAGCTTTGTCCAAACTTGGGAATGAGAATGTCACTTCAACATCAGCCTGCATAATTATCAGAGCTAGTGTATAACGAACTTTCATTAATGCTATTGCATAACTTTTACATCATTAGGGCATTTGTGCTCCGCAAATATTGTTGTACGAATACCAATTATTTACTTTTATGACTACGTGGATTAGTCTGAATATACTCCAAGTACATAAGCAATACTTAGGGTATGAAACTAGTGCAGTTAGATATGAGATGAGTGTATTTCGAATATTTTTGTGGATTCTTACAGGAGCATAAATATAATTTTTTTTTTTAGATGTAGATATAACTAAACAAATATAGGATATTTTTAAAAATATATTAAGCTTATTTTAAAAACTTAATAAATATAGAATATTTTTGCAATTATTAAAAATGTAAAAATAAAAAAAAAAAGAAGGTGCCACATTGCATATATTTATTATACTGCATTGTGAGGAACTTAGAATTTCTATTCCAAAGATTTATTTCACGTGTGAGTCTCACTATATAAGAATTAAATCTGTACTACATATCACAATTTAGAATAAATTTCTTAGCATATATATATATTTTTGGATCTCTATCTTTTATGATATTTATATCATGTTAATAAGGTGTTTAGTAGTTTTTACTGGACACAATAGGTTCTTTAGGACTTATCAATCATAATTGGATCAAATTCAAAATTTCAAATATTTCATAAGACCATAATAAATAAAAATTCAAGGTGTTTATAAAAAAAAAAAAAACCCTCAAAATTTTCCAAATAGGTTTGTTTTTTTTTTTGGGGGGGGGGGTTACATGTAAAATTTTACATGGTATTTTAATAATCAAGGTATGATATCAAAATTCGCTTTCATTGATTTTATTTTTTAAATCAGTTTTTCGATTTTTGATTTTTCATATGATACTAGAATTTTTTCATATTTTAAATTTAAATTATACTTTTACATAAAAAAAGGCAGCTTCCCCCTTCCAGTTGTCACGAAGATGTTCCCAGCAAAAGTGGAGGATCCTGTCATAAGGGCAGACATTTTGGTTCAGACTTTTAGGGAAATCAGTGGAGGATATTCATATGCTCAAGAGGGCTGGGGCTGGGCAACATTTTTCCAAAATGTTGAAAAAAAGCACAAGATAATGGAGAGAGTTGAGTTTTTGCAGAGTACAGGTATGTATTCTTATTAAAAAAAGCTGGTTTTGAAGAGATTTTGCTCAACTCTAGTTACTCTACCAACACAGTAATACTTTTTTCTTCTTATTGGTGTGTTAAGTGCTGAGACAGTGAGTGTGAAGAGTACTTAAAATTTAAAAAGACAAAAGGTTTAGGCAATGTATTCCACTTCTTGCTTCAAAAGGCCTAAGCCTTTGGATTCTTTATTTTTCTATATTTTGTAAAATATTTAAAATTAAAGTTGAAGAAGTGGAAGCATGGTAACAAATGACATAGGCAGGTAATACCATTTTTTTCTTCATTCTGTAAGCATAATTGAACTAGGTTTTTGAACAATGTCAAGAACAGTTATTCTATTGAATTATTTGTATTGAAGTTTTATTTGTGTTTTGTTTTCATGGATAGATCCAATATTCATATATTTTCAATTTTTTGGGCTGCTGTTCACTTGGCCTTTCTCAAAAGTTTGTTACTGATGACTATTTGGAATGATTGGCAAGCATGTAAAGGGGATAAGAGGATAATCTAAAATTTCACACGGAGCGTGCTCTAGATATTTTATTAACTTATTTTGGTTGAATTGAAGTTTTTTTCCCTGTATTTTATGTGTTAGATTGTTGATGGTTATATTTATAATCATGGTTCAGGTGTCTGGGGTCTTTTGGTAATTTTACAATTTATTGGACATGGCTTTTAGTGTTTATTCATACGCCATCTTATGGACTCAAGTTACGTTTTGGGGTATATGTAATTTTTATTTGATCTAGAATAATCAAAATCAAAGTTTTATTATCCCCAAGTTATAATTTTTTCAGCAACAAAGAGGATTTATTAATAATTAATGTGTAAATTACATTAATCCTCCTTGAGGATGGGAGAAAATACAATTACCTTCGTCATTTTGGCATAATTACACCAATCTTTCTTTTAGTAAGGTTAAAGGAACCATGTTACATGGACTCCTCAATTTTGACGAAGTACTCATGCCGACACGACACAACACGACACGACACGACCCGTCACAACATGGGTACGGGTATGGAATCCGGCCGGGATACGACATGGAGAAAGTGGATACGGCATATGAAGAAGAAAAATGGCATACCTGCAATTAGGACTATGAAAATGGAGATTAGGGCTTCGATCTTCATCTTAGGTGCGATTTTCATCTTCTTCGATCTCCCTCTCTTTCTCTCACTCGACTTTGTTCTCTATCTCTCTATCTGTCATTTTTGGACTTCATTGAACCATTTGAGTTGTAAGGAGTGCACAGGGTAATGAGAGATGAGAGGAGTTTTGTTAGATTAGATCTGTGATAAGAGAGAGAGAGAGAGAGAGAAGAGTATATATTATATATAGTGGGTTGGTGAGTGAGAGATGAGAGAGAGGCAGGGCAGAATCGGGATCAGGGCCGGGGTCGGGCCGGGCCGGGTCCGGGACTGAAATATGCATCCCCGTCCCTGGCCCGAATGTCATCGGGGATTAAAATTTTAATACCATCCCCGGCCCGTCGGGGGTATTTTTCGGGGAATAACCATTCAATTCGGGGTCGGGGAATCGGGTCCCCGTCGGGCCGGGTTCCAATTGCCATCTCTAAGAAGAAGGCCCAGGCAGAGCAGGGGCAAACCGCCTTGTGGGGATCATAGAAGAGGCAGCCTTGCGCTTAGCAGCCAGATTCAACGAGGCTAAACTGTTGAGGGGGTTATGCTCCGCTCAAATAGAGGTAACCACCTTAGCAGGGGCTCTGCTGAGGAAGGCTGGGGCTGCAAAGCTCCAGGCAGATGGGGCCAAGGCTCAACTTGCAAGGTTGAAGAAGGAGAGCGCAAACTGGGAGAGTGCCCACGCTGAGCTGCAAACGGTCAAGGTGGAGCTGGAGAACACACGCCGCCAGGTTGTGTCGCTCGAGTTCCAACTGGCTAGCGAGCAGAAGAGGTTGGGGAGGCCGAAAAAGCCTGCGCGGTCGCGGTCGAATGGCATGAAGAGGCGATGAGCAGTAATGAAGAGTTGGTCGGCAGAAGGATGAGACAGATGTGAAGATTAGCGATCTGCCGAAGGAGCTGGAGGGCGAGCGGGCAAAGGCACCGAAAGAGAGGGAGAGCCTTCAGAAGGAGTTGGAGGCAGAGAGAGCCAGGCAACTGTCGAAAAGGCGTCCCTGAAGAAGAAGTGGGAGGAAGAGAGGGTTAAGGCAGCCTCTGAAATGGTGATCTTGCAGAAGGAGCTGGACGAAGAGAGGGCAAAGGCAGCCTCTGAAAGGGTGGCTTACCCTGATCTGTATGTGGCAGCAGTGGATCAATTCAAGGGGTCTGCTGAGTTTTAGATGGCAGTGGATGCCGCGGTCGCCAACAGCTTGGCGAGGGAGGAGTCTGGGGGGGCGGGCCCATCGAGGACGACCGCTGGGAGAAGAACTGAAGCGGAAGTGATTGAGAGCTTCCGGCAGTCAGACTTCTATAAACACGAAATGGCTGAGTTTTGGGACAGTGGCTGGAAAATGTTCAAACGTAGGGCTGAAGAACTGTTCCCAGACTTAGACCTCAGTAGTGTAACAATTGGTGAAGATGATGTGGCCCAGACCCCCCTGGATGAGGGTACTGAAGAAGAAGACCTTGTCTCCAGTGAGGAAGAATGAGTGAAGTGAAGAAAGTTTGTACTTAAGAGAGTTTTTTTTTTTTTTTTTTTTGTTTTGAATGGCTGTAATGAACTCATGTACAAATTTCTGAATAAATAAAATTGCAATTATGTTTTCGTTTGATTGTCTGTGCTTGTACAACTGGAATGAATGAGGTGTATAACTCATTGTGAAGTGCAAAGTGAGGTTAAACTTGTAATAGGAACTAAATGTAAGGACTCCTTAGTGTAGGGTGAAGTTGAAGTTGTAATAAAAACTCAATGCAGAGTGAAGTTAAGAACTCCTCAATGCAGAGTAGAATTGAACTTGTAATAAAGACTCAATGTAGAGTAAAGTTAAGAACTCCTCAATGCAGAGTGAAATTTAAAATGTAATAAAATTATAAGTTTGTGTTTGCCACACTGCTGAAGTAGATTAGTGGTTTATTGGAGTGAGGCTTGGCTTGTAAGGGAACGGGCTGACTTGTAAGAGTTTGATTGAGAAGAAAATAACCTGACTTGTAAAGAAAACGTGTAAGAACGTCTTTGGAATTTGACTAAGCAAAGAGTGGTGTAAAGACTTGGACCTGGAATGGTGACTAAGTGTGTCTACTAATTCCACAAGTATGAAGTTTGCATAGATGGCTTTGACCGAGCCCTGCACGCGTGCTTAGTTGGGGCTAAGCTATGACGCACTGACGTCGTAAGGAACTCAGTCTGAACTTGAAATTGTGGCGCTCGGTCCGGCTGAGACTTGTTATGCTTAGGCTGGCTGAGGCTTGGTCTGGCCGAGTGCTTCATGCTCAGTCTGGCTGAGGCTTGATGATGCTCAGTCTGGCTGAGGCTTTTTAGTGCTCAGTCTGGCTGAGGCTTTATGATGCTTAGTCTGGCTGAGGCTTTTCATGAGTGCTGCAATCAAAACGTCATTGAGACACCATACAGATGGCAGGGGAAGTGTAACCCAGTTAATTAAAAAGTTACATTGCGTAAGGAGATATCAAGATGCTCAGTCGCATCTTGATTGAGAGTTGGCCAGAAATAACCAATACGGAGTATTTTGTGGGCCAGAGACCTGCTGCCCGAATGATTACTACAAATTCCCTCATGGATTTCCTGCATTACATAGGTTGCTTGAGCCAAATTGAGGCATCGCAGGTATGGGCGTGAAAAACCACGTTTGTATAAGACGCCCCTGACCAGGATGTAATTGGACGACCGGGCCCTGACTTTGGTGGCTTGCTGTTGGTCATCTGGGAGTTCCCCCGTTGTCAAAAATAGGAAGATGTTGGAGGCCCAAGGGATGGGTTCGTTTTGGAGGAACTGCACTT